GGCTGAGAATGGCCTTGTGGGGTTCAGTGTGGCGTTCAGTGTTGGCGTGGAGCTGTCTGCAAAGACCAGAGATGGCGTAGCAGTTTGGAGAAGGACGACAGAGAATCGGCAGAATCAATCTGGGGCCCAGCAGCGTGGAGGTGTCTGCCGTTGACGGAGGTTGGTACAGAGGCCACGGTCCTGGGAGACCCCAGAGGCCACGGTCCACAGAGTCCATGGTCTAGCTTTAGTCCATAGTGGTCAGATAGAATACAAGGGATTATTTCAATCTTCTTGTATCTGTTGAGTATTGCTTTGTGACCAACTATATGGTCTATTTTGGAGAAGGTTCTATGAGGTGCTGAAAAGAAGGTATACTCTTTTGAATTTGGGTGAAAAGTTCTGTGGATATCTATTAGGTCCATTTGATTTAGGACCTCAGTGTCTTTATTTCCCTATTTGCCTTCTCGCTAGATGATCTGTCCCTTGGTCACAATGGAATGTTTAAGTCTCTGACTATTAAGGTGTTGAGATTGATGTGTGATTTAAGCTTTAATAATATTTCATTTATAAATGTAGGTGCTCTTGTATTTGGGGCATAAATGTTCAGAATTGTGATGTCTTCTTGGTGGATTTTTTCTTCAAGGAGAATGTAATACCCCTCCTCATCTTTTTTGATTTATTTTTATTGAGAGGCTATTTTATTTGATATTAGGATAGCTACCCCAGCTTGTTTCTGGCTCCATTTGTTTGGAAAAACATTTTTTTCTAGCCCTTTTACTCTGAGGTAGTGTTTATGTTTGTTGCCGAGGTGTGTTTCTTGGGTACAGCAGAATGTTCCATCCTGTTTCTGTAACCATTCTGTTAGTCTGTGTCTTTTTATTGGAGAGTTGAGTACATTGATGTTGATAGTTAATAGTGACCAATGAATGTTAATTTCTTTTGTTGTAGGGTTGGTGGTGTTACTGTTTTTCATTTCTTCTATTCTTTTGATTTTTTGTTGTGTACTTATCTATATCCTATGTTTTGTTGGATGTAGATGTTTTTGTTTGATTGCTGTTTTCCTTCTAGTATCTTTTGTAAGGCTGGTTTGCTGTGTAGATACTGTTTAAGTTTGGTTTTGTCATGGAATATTTTGTTTTCCCCGTCTATGTTGATTGAAAGCTTTGCTGGGTATAGTAGACTGGGATGGCATCTGTGGTCCCTTAAAGTCTGCATGACATCTGCCCAGGCCCTCCTGGCTGTCATAGTTTCTGTTGAGAAATCTGGTGTGGTTCTGATAGTCTACCTATATATGTTACTTGGCCTTTTTCCCTTGTTGCTTTTAATATTTTTTCTTTGTTTTATAGGTTTAGTGTTTTGACTATGATGTGACACAAGGAGCTTCTTTAATTGTCTAGTCTATATGGTTTTCTGTAGGCCTCTTGTATATTTATGGACACCTTTCTTTCAGTTGGGAATTTTTTCTTCTATGATTTTCTTGAAAATATTTTCTGGACCTTGAAGCCTGGTATCTTCTTTTTCACCTATTCTTATTATTCTTAGATTTTGTCTTTTCATGGTGTCCTTGATTTCTTGGATTTTTTGTGTTTGGAACTTTTCTGATTTTTCTTTTCCTTTGAGAGACATACCAATTTCTGTAAGTGTATCTTCAACACCTGAGATTCTCTCTCCTATCTCTTGTATTCTATTGGTGATGCTTACATTTGTGGTTCCTGATCTTTTCTCTAAGTTCTCCAGCTCCAGGATTTCCTTTGTGTTTTCTTTATTGACTCTAACTCTGTTTTCATGTCTTATACCATTTCCTTCATGTTTGAATGTGGATTCCTACCTTTCTATAATGGCTTCGATTTTTGTTTGTTTCCTCTTTGTATGTCACTAATTGTGCTTCTACTTGTTTGGCTGTATTTCTTTGAGAGCTTTGTCCATTTCCTTCCTATGTGCCTCTATTTGTGTGGCTATTTCTGAGAGATTTATTTCCTCTTTATGTGCCTCTAATAACTGGATAAGCATAGTTTTAAAGTAATTTTCTTGCGTTCTGATAAACTGAAATGTCCATTGATTTTGGGGGTTGCTGTTGAAGCCATTTTTGTTGTATGCGTTCTTACGTCAGCCTCTGACCATCTGCTTATCTGCAGCCATCACTGCTTATTCCTGGAGTCTGTACTTCAGATTGGGTCAATCTTTTTCTGGTGTCTGGAGTATTTTTAAGGAAGAGGAGAGAGGTCCACTGGTTTGAGAATGTACAATGATGTTTCTGCTGTACCTAAAGTTGGAATGTAATGTTGGCGCTATTCTCAGGTGCTGTTAGTGGGTGCGGTGCGTAGGCACAGATTCCCTGACTACCTCAGTGGCCTACAGGCCACTGGTATACAGTTCTATCTGGGCTCCAGGAATTGTTTGCCTGGAATTCACTTCATTGTTGAGAACAAAGGCTTCATTGTTGAGAACACTGTCCCAAGAATCCCTATGTTGCTCACAATAGGGTTGTGGATGGTAGGGATTGAAAGCTGTCCCAAGAATCCCGGTTGTGGGTGGTAGGGATCTGATGTCTGGCTGCTTGTGTAGAGGGTCCCTGGATTTGGGGCTCTGCAAGCACTTACTTGAAGGCACACTCACTGTCTAGCAGGACCAATCTGAAAGCACAGGGGTCCCCCTTGTTCTCTATTCTCAGATATGATCCTGCTGGGTCAAATGTGGGTGTAGGCTAACAGTCAGCTCAGTGGTGCTGAAGCCACAGAACTTGGTGCCTGCCAGCACTGTGTGCTGTGCTAGGAGCCGCGGGCACTGGGGGCTGGCCACTGTGCTCTGTGGCAGATGCTGGAAGCTGTCGCAGGCTTCACCTCTGTGAGAGAAGGATAATGGCAGCCAGTCCTAGGGGAGTACCTGGTGGGGGTGGGGTAGGGATTGAGTATTCTCTATCCCACATCCTGAGCCAGGTTTCTTTGCTAGGAGCAGCCAGCACTGTGGGTCTGACACTATGCTCTGTGGTGGGCACTGTGGGCTTACCTCCGCTGCCTCTGCCAAGGAGAGAGTAGGGGAGGTAGATAAGGGGAAGCACCTAGGGATTGAGTCACCAGGAGAAGTCTGAGGAAAAGTTCCTGGTGAAGTCCCAGGAGAAGTTCGCGGGTGACCTGAATCTAAATTGCCTCAGTTCACAGTCCCCTTTCTCCCTGGAAGCCTCAATGTCGTTGTTCTGGGTTCAGCAGCACCTCCACTCACCAATTTTGTAGTTTCAGATCCTGTGCCCCTCAGATATGGATGCTGTTTGCTGCCATCTTGGATGCCCCCCGAAGTAATACTTAATAAAACCTGTAACTTCTAATTGTAATAATTGATTAGAAATAATCTGCAGTGAAAATGGAAAAATGACAATCATCTCTTATAACTTTGATAGTTTTCTTTTCACACTATAAATGATAATCTCAAAACAGTTTTAACTGCTTTTGAAATTCAACCAAAGGGGATCAAATAGATTTTCTTTTAAGAAAACTACCCATTTTAGTTTCCATTATCCTCAAAAGTCAGAGTGAAATTCACTTGTTTCACAAATCGATGGAAAATGATCAGTATTTTCTTTTATTTCAAATGAGTTGATTACAATCCTTTAAAATAAAATGAGGATTTCAAACTGTGGAGTAAAGGGGAACTGAGTAGAAATGACAAGAAAGATGGACAGACAGCTGGGCCAGTCACTTATTTTAGGCCTGCATTGGTCAGACACTAAGTCACCATTTTCTAGAGTGGGAACTCACAGGAAGAGAAAAACGTTGGGGGTTGAGAGTTTTCTCTCAGGTTTGAGAGAAAAATGGATGCATTTTGTTGTCCCCATAATGTATAGAAGAACTCTCTCCTGCACCTTTCATTTTTCTCACATTAAATAGATCTTCAGAAATATTACTCAATAAAGTCCAGAAAATTTACCCCCCAAACTGAGTAGACTTTTATTGATGTTTGTCCTAAAATCCATTTACATACTTATGAGAATACCCCTTAAAATATATATCGATGAGGACAGGACCAATTTTATACCTTTTGAAATAATATGAAAACTATGATCATGGCCTCTGGAGATTATATGTGAACCAGAAAACACTTACATGCTCATATGTGACAATGCAAAAAAAAAAAAAAAAATATAAATATATATATATATATATATATATATATATATATATATATACACTTCACAGCAGTCCTTAGCATCCACAGGATCACCAAGCAGGAACTACATGGTACCAGCAGTTCCCCTGATGAGTGTAGGGATAGTGTCTGCTTCTCATCTCTTCACACTAATTTGGAAGTTATGAGTTCAGAGGCTTATATGGTCTCCTTTGAGCAACCAATATAATTAGTGATTTTACCTTTCATATTTTAAATAATTTTTGAGAAAAATTTTACAGTGTAGTCTACAAACTTCCAATACTCATATATAAGTCAGCTTCAAAATAACTATAATTGCTGACATCTGCTACCACACCTCTCTCCTTTTCACGATTGTTGCTATTCTTTCCTCAATTCAAAGAGCAGAATCACACTTTAAATAATTCATTTTTAAAAATATGACTAAAACATGTGATAACAAAGTGAAAATGTGTACAGAAGTCCACTAAGCGTCAACCCTAATTCAAAAAGTCTGTGCCAATGTGAAATTTTGAAAGTAAGAGAAATACCCCTCCCATAGGAAGAGCAGACCAATTGGCTATCTAATATCAAATGGACAATCCTGAAAACATATATACAATTAACATTATACTGACTGGGCTGATTATATTTATGTAGTTAGGAATATATGTATATGTAAATATATGTGTATATATAAATATGTATATATATATATATATATATATATATATATATAAAACCACACACATACATGTACCTTAATATACATATATTTGTGTAACAACAATTAATTAAAAAAGAAGCTATGATTTTAAAAGAGATCAAGTAAGGGACCATGGCAGGATGTGTAATAAAATATAAAATGGGAAATAATGAAATAATTATAAAGCAAAACATAAATCAAAAACTTTTATTTTTGTACAGTAAAGTCTAATCAAAGTGTAGCCTCTAATAATATGGCAGGCATGAGGAACACACTCACAGGTTATTAGACCCATCCAAAACATCAATGAACAAGGAGAGATGTTGTTTTTTTCTTGTTCTATCTCTTCTGTGTTTTATGGGGTCTTGGCATAGCAAGGTTTGGTATATTCCATCAGTGGTGAACTCCTCATAGGCTTCCATGTGGGTAAATATGGATTCTCCTGGGACAGGAGACTGGGACAAGACTGATATCCATACTAAATTTCAAAAGGTGCATAGTTTTAAAACACAGCCTCAATTCCCAAAGCAGGATTCTGTTGAGCTATAAACGTACTTAAAATGCAATAGAAGGGAGGAGGTCACTTTGGAAGATAAGTATTGGGAATAGATTGGAGAAATAGGCTTTTTTTCCCCTAGAAGTGATCAACTTGAGAGTCATGAGAAGACTCAAGTTGGAAGAAGAGTAGCTGGTAGGATATAGATCAATGGTTAAATCCTTAATACTATTACTCATGTCATAGGATACAATCATAATATTTTACAATTATTATGGTTTATTATTATAAAATTATTTCATTGATACTTTATAACTGTAATTTTGTAACTGTTATGAGTTCTATTGTAAGTCTTTGATTAGGAAGATATCAAATATGTCATCTCCAAAAGGTTCAGGACCAACAAGTTAAGAACCACTTGTTCAGAGTGAGGAAGGGGGTGAATGAAGTAATTTCAACTAAAATAATTTTTAAAATTTGAGTAATAAAGACTATCCATTAATGAAGTTTGCCAATATTATTCATGATTTTGCAGGAAGCACATTGCAAAGCATCATATTGGAGAAAAAGAAATACTCAAATACTAGAGTGAATCACAAAAAAGACAGATTGATGCCAAACATTAAATGAAGGCCCAAGTAGGCGACCCCTAAAAATTTGCCACTGGAGTAGCAACATGGATGTCATTGTTCACCCCAATGTAATATGTGTGCAATTAGAGGCGCAATATTTGGTGCACAACATGGTGAAATATATATTTATCCCTATTTATTAATTCCTAATGCTTTTAACCTATCAAAGTTCCACCAGAAAAAGGCAGCATGGAGATGTCATTAACTCTGTGAACTTTAGAGCCTAACAGATGTAAAAATCATAGGTTTTTCAAGGAAATGTGCTTTCCTGAGATAGTCAGAAAGCTTCATGCACAAGAAAGTCAGACAGCATTGATGTCTACAAAGGAGGATACTTGCTTATTAGTATATAGTAAAGGCTAAAGACACATAGAATTGTGACTGAAACAACCTGGAAGATACTTGGTAAATCTCATGCTCAAATATGTAGTATACCTTGGACACATGATAATCATGAACAGATCATGTAAAATCAGAATGCCTATTTCTTTAAATGATTGAATTTTGTTGATAGTAAACTGTATCTTCTGTGAAGTGTGTAGTTTAATATGTATAATTTTACAGTAGAAAAACTCTACCAAATTATATAAAGTACTTTATAAAGATTTTCTACTCAATACTTATAAATGGCTGAATCATTGGAATGCAGTAAAAAATACTGATATACATCTATGTATTGGCATTGAAACACCGTAACTAAAGAAGTCCATTACTTTGTAAGTGAATGTAAATAGACGTGAAGAAAATAATCAGGTTTTTCTAATGGTTTAAACTAGTCAGTAGGGAGCACATATATCCAAAAATGGCCATCTTTGTTCATCTCAAGATGGAGTATAGAAGAATTTATGGGGTTACAAACAAACAAAAACAGACACACCAAAAAAGCAAAACAATATTCATCAAGAATTTGTCAGACAGTTCTTATACAGCAAGAGAAGTCATTTTCCTTGCCTCTGGCAAAAGGGACATATGGCACTCCATTGACCTGTGATATCAGCACCAATGCTGGCCTCCAGGTCAAGTGAAGGGAAGTAAAAGTATGTTATACATCTCAGAACCCACACATGTATTCCTGTCACTTCCCAAACAAGCCTATCTCCTCCTGCCCTCTGCTAACTCCCCAAATATTCTAGCATTCTTCTTCATCTCTTTATGAAGTCAGTTACTTTACTTGTCTGAGCTATCTTAATATTCTTTCTTTTTTCCCAGACAGCTTGGTCACATGAAGTATGTCTTTCTCCCCTCTGGTCTCAACTTTTCTAGAATCCTCTGAACATTTTTCCTCTTTTATCCATAATAAAATTCTTTCCTGTAATCTTCTAAGATTTGGTGTTTTTTCCTGTTATCCAGATCATATAATTGAATATTTAAAATATATCTGTAAAAGTGACTATTACTCTGCTAAAATTAAGGAATGTATACAGAGACCCCATAGATTTTAGTTAGAAAGCACTTAATGAAATGAAAGTGTCAAAGAAAGACAGCAGTCAATGGTTTTCAATATGCATATAAATGAAAAGTATGTAATATAAAGGTATGTTAAAAACAGTACCAATTCAGTTTCATAATAACAGAATTGAAAGTAAAAGAGCATGTTTGGAAAACAGTTCTTGTCTAGTCTGAATCTCTATCAAAATATTGAGATTTAGGTTCCAAAGAACACAAAATGTGTCAGAAACAATAAAAGTCTGTTAAAAACCCCAGAACTTTTGAGATTTTAAAGTTGAAATTGACACAAATTTAAAACAAATACTTGTAGTCAGGATGAGTAGCATAATTAGATGGTATAGAGAATAGTCCTCACTCATAACTTGGTCAGATATAGTTCTGAAGATATACAAACACCTTTCTCCTTTATAGGTCAAAGCACACTTCAGGTACTTTTTCTTTTCTTTTGGAGAATGGTACTAAATTGTAATGAGTAGCTTTTCAAGAAGCTGGGTTTACACTACTGAAGTGTACACATTCTGTAGTAGTCAGGAGAGAAACCACTGTGAAGTCAACATTCCAAGGCTCATGCCATAATTGACAATGTGACACATGCATTTCATTTCTTTCAAACTGTTGACTTTAAAACATTGATTTTGAACAATTCTTGAACCACATGTTTGGATTGATATTTTTACAACCATATACATGTGTGTGTATGTGTGTATAGAAGATATATGATAGAGATAATAGATAGATGATTGATGTTAGGTAGAAGGATAGATAACTGTAATAATATGTGTGCAAAAATAAAACACTTGTATAAAACAACGTGATAGACTAGGGTCAAATAGAAAGGGAGGAGGACCTTCCCTATCTGCCGGAGCCAGCCAGCAGAGTCGAAAGGTTCTTGAGTCAGGAGTGAGGATTACAATTAATAAAATAACACACAGCACATAGGAGGCTTTTTTAAAGAAGGTCCGGACTCAACAGCCACAGCAAAAAGCCTCTAGCCTCTAGCAGCAACTCTCCTAGCTGCAACCTCTGGCCAGAGTAGAAACATCTCAGAACAATGGGTTAATTTCCATGAGGAAAGGAAGAGGTGTGATCCTCACAAGCTATCCCACCTGCTGTCACAAACAAAAGGAGATGGACTTGCAAATTCTTCCTTGCCCTTAGTGAAGGTCTGGTAAAAGCAGTCTCTCTGCTGAGATTTAAATATCAAAGCAGCTGCCAGAGGCACAGCTCTCCAAACCTATCAGTGCACTATGGGAGGAACATAGGGGGAGAAGAGAAGAGGGTGATTGGGAGGAGATAAGGGAGGGAGCCACAGCTGCAATAAAATTTGAAAAAATGTAAAAAAAAAAAAAAAACAAAACAACAACAAAAAAAAACCCCACTGTTATATTCATCTCCAAAGATTATAAATTCCTAATTTTTTTAACCTGTTAAAGGTCCATGTGAAATGAGGTTGCATGCAAAATCATTAAGACTATGAACCTTGGAGTCTAACATATTCAAAAATCATAGCATACTTTAAAGATGAATGTGCTTTACTGAGATATGGTCAGAAAGCTTCATGCACAGAGAAGTCAGAAAGTTTTAAAGAGTGGAGAGGAGTGCACATGCTTATTAGTATATAGTAAATTTTATATATTAATCTTAGAGAAACAAAGAATTGTGACTGAAATATGAGAAATACTCTGTATGTTTCATAATAAAGAAATGTAGTTTACATCGGACAGAAAATAATCATGGACAAATCATTCAAAATTAGAATACCTGTCTTTAAAATGATTGTATTCTGGTGACAGTAATAATTTTTGACTTCTGCACAGTGTGTAATTTCATTAATATGTGTAATAATACACTTCTAATTAAGATAGCAAAACTCTACCAGACTAGTAGGTTCTTTATTAAGATATTCTGCTGAATAATTATGATTTTAAAAATATGATACATTTGAGTATGGGAAATAAAAACACATCAGAAGGAAATCTCTATAGTGCCATGTGGTTACTAACCTCATTATTTTTAAAATAGTAATAAGTATGTGTAAAGAAAGTAATCAGGCTTTCCTAATAGTATAAACTATTTAGGTCCCAGGGAGTGCAAATATCAAAAAATGCCAAACCTGGACCTGCTCAACACGCATTTTCGAAGGAATTCTGGTGAGTAGAAAGAAACAAGCAAAAACCAAACAAACACACATACCAAAACCAGCATTCATCAAGAATTTGTGCAAAAGTTCTGGTCCAGCAAAATAGCCATTTTTCTTGCTCCGACAAAAGGGACATATGGCTCTCTATTGACATGTAGCTCCTATCAGGATATCAACACCCATGGTGGCCTCCATGTTCCTTGAAGGGGAAGTAAATGGACTTGTTATACATCTCAAAACACACGTCTAGATTCCTGTGCCTTCCCAAAGAGCCTCATCTCTTTCTGCACTATCCTAATTTCCTGAATAGTCTAGAAATACCCTATTTTTACACTAATTAATTTATTTATAAATTTCACATCTTCATCCCAGGCCCCGTCCCTTCTCTCTTCACAGTCCCACTATCATACTCCCCTCCCCCATTCCCTCTTTCTCTTCACAGAGGCTCACTGTGTATAACAACCTACCCTGACAAATCACATGATGTAGGACTAAGAGCTTCCTTTCTCACTAAGGACAGGCAGGACAGCCCAGCTAGGAAAAAGGAAACTAAGAGCAAGCAACAGAGTCAGAGACAGCCATCAGTCCAATTGTTAGGGGTCCTACATGCTGACCAAGATGCACATCTGCTACATATGTGCAGGTGGACCTAGGTCCAGCCTGTGCATTTATGAAAGCAAAGTTTGTCTCTGTCTACGCTATCTCTACTTTTCTCCTAATATTCTCCATTCTCTTCTAGACAGTCTTGGTCATATCAAGTCTGCTTCTTTTTCTCTGTGCTATGAACTCTTCCAGGTGCCTCTGAACATTATTCCTCTCTGACCCATAATAAAATTAATTCCTGTAATAATGAAGTGGCTACTATTTTACTGGTTTGTTTACTGTTCCTGCTCATACAGTTAGAATATTTAAAGTATATATTTTATTAAATGAATATTACCATGCCTAAGTCATTTTATTTCATTCAAGGAATATGTACTGACAAGCCATAGTTTTTACTTGGGAAGGATTAAAGATCCCTGTGAATTGAACAGTCAAAGAGAGACATCAGCCAAGGTTGTCATCAACTGCATCAGGCAATAATGTAAAGGTATTTTATAAAATATTGCAAATGCAGTTTCATGATAAAATTGAAATTAAATGAGTATGTCTGGAAAGTCATTCCTATCTAGCAGAATCAGTATTCACATATTGAGAGATATGTTTGAAACCAGAAAGTTGTTGAATTTGGGGCTGAAATCTGAGCATTTTCCAACAAAACTATGTTAGCATAGTGGGTAAAACAACTAGATCAAAGAGAAAATAATCTCTCACATCTTGGGCATATAGTTATGAAGATACATGGGTATCATTCTCTTGTATAATAATTCAGAGCATACCTCTCTGTCATGATAACTTTGTTTCTTTGGGGGAATGGTACTGATTATTGCTAACAGGAGTAGCTTTTCATGAAGCAACTGTTAAGAATTAGATCACAGGTTCTAGAAAAATCAAGACAGAACACTTCCTGAAACCATTAGTCTAGTATGAAAATCATAATGATCATTTTAAAATACCTTTACAGTAGAGTCTGGAATGGAGAACCTTTCACTGGGCACAAAATTATCATTTTCTTTCCTGGCACTAACCAAAATGGCTACAGCAGTTTGTAGATGAACTATTGAAGTGTAAACATTCTGTAGTAGTCAGGGGAGAAACCACAGTGATGTCAACATTCCAAAGCTCAAGCCATAACTGACAAAGGGACACATGCATTTGAAATTTTGTCTTTAAGACATTGATTTAAAAACAAATTTGAACCACATGTGTTTCGAAGAAATAACATATTCAAAACTGTGTGTGTGTGTAATGATATAGACAATAGAGGATAGATGTTAGATAAAAGTATAGATAACTATAATGATATCAGCGCAACAATAGGAGGAATACTTATATAGGGTCAAATAGGAATACTTGTACAGGGTCAAATAAAAGGGGAGGACTAGGGGAGGGGTGTAGAAGAGGGAAGGAGGGTGGGATTGGGAGATGAGAGGGGGCCACAGCCACAATACATAATTTGAATAAATTCAAATAAACAATAATAATAATATTTAAAAGACAGTAATGTAAAAATATCATGAAATTTATATTCATCTCCAAAGATTATCAATTCCTAACTTTTTAACCTGTTAAAAGCCCAGGTGAAAAAAGGCAGCATGCAAAATCATTAAAACTGTGAACCTTGGCGTCTAACACATGCAAAAATCATAGAATACTTTAAAGATGAATGTGCTTTACTGAGATATGGTCAGAAAGCTTCATGCACAGAGAAGTCAGAAAGTTTTAAAGAGTGGAGAGGAGTGTACATGCTTATTAGTATACAGTAAATTTTATATATTAATCCTGGATACACAAAGAATTGTATCTGAAACATGGGGGATGCTCTGTACATTTATTAATAAAATATATAGTATACTTTGGACATATAATCATGGACAAATCATTCAAAATTAGAATTATCTGTCTTTATGGTGACTGTATTTGGTGATAGTAATAATTTTTTACTTCTGCCAAGTGTGTAATTTCATTAATACATGTAATTACACAGTTCTCATTAAGATAGCAACATTCTTCCAGACTGTTAGGTTCTTTATAAAGATATTCTGCCGAATAATTATGATTTTAAAAATATGACACATTTGAGTATGGGAAATAAAAACACATCAGAAGGAAATCTCTATAGTGGCATGTGATAACTAAACCCATTACTTTTTAAAAGGACATAATAGGTGTGAAGAATGTAATCAGGCTTTCCTAATGGTTTAAACTTGTTAGGTTCCCAGAAGTGTAATTATCCAAAAATGTCAGTACTGGACCTGCTCAACACACAGTATCAAAGGAATTCTGGTGATTAGAAACAGACAACAACAACAAAAACAAATAAACACACATACCAAAAACAGCATTCATCCAGAATTAGTGAAATAGTCCTTGTCCAGCAAAATAACCATTTTTCTTGCTCTGACAAAAGGAACATACTGCTCTTTACTGACCTGTGGCTCCTATCAGGATATTAACACCCATGGTGACTTCCAGGTTGCCTGAAGGGGGAGTAAATGTACTCGTTATACACCTCAAAACACCCATCTAGATTCCTGTGCCTTCCCAAACAGCCTCATCTCTTTCTGTAGTATCCTAATTTTCTAAATATCCTAGAAATTAAGCTTTCTTTCCACCAATTAATTAATTTCATATCTTCATCACAGGCCCCCATCCCTTCTCTTCTCATAGTCCCACGATCATTATTCCCTCCCCCATGACCTCATTTTCTTCAGAGAGGCTCAGTAGTATGTGTACCAACCCACCCTGACATATCACAGGAGGCAGGACTAAGAGCATCCTCTCTCAGTAAGGACAGGCAAGATAGCCCGGCTAGGGGAAAGGGAACTAAGGGCAAGCAACAGAGTCAGTGAAAGCTCTCAGTCCAATTGTTGGGGGACCCACATGTTGACCAAGCTGCACATCCACTACATAAGTGAAGGGGGACCTAGGTCCAGCCTGTGCATTGATGAAAGCATACTTTGTCTCTGTCTAAGCTATCTCTACTTTTCTCCTAATATTCTCTATTTTCTTCAAGACAGTCTTGGTCATATCAAGTCTGCTTCTTTTTCTCTGTGCTATGAACTCTCCCAGGTGCCTCTGAACATTATTCCTCTCTGACCCATAATAAAATTAATTCCTGTAATAATGAAGTGGCTACTATTTTACTGGTTTGTCTACTGTTCCTGCTCATACAGTTTGAATATTTAAAGTATATATTTTATTAAGTGAATATTATTATGTCCAAGACATGTTATTTCGTTTAAGGAGCCCTGGTCCTAGTGCGGGTAGCTCTTCCTCACATGCTGTGGAGGCCCTAGATGGATGAATCCAGGGTCTGGAGAAAGCAGAGCTCTGTCAGCCCTGGAGACCTTGGCTCTCTGCCACACTGCTGTACTCCCCGGCCTTAGGGCATAGAATCTCCTTCCCCAAGAGCTCACATCACCTCTGGCTGCACAGTCTCCCTCCCTCCTTCCTTCCCTTCCTCCCTCCTTCCTTCGTTCCTTCCTTCCCTCCCACTTCTTCTTCCCCTCACTGCCTGGCCCTGGCTGGCCTGGAACTCTGTATACCAGGCTGCCTCCAACTCCATGGAGACCAATCCTCATCTGACTCCTGGAATTAAAGACATGTGTCCCTAAGTCTGGACCTTTATTTCAGGATTTATTTATGTCATTTTGTTGTTTTGTTTTTTTGAGACAGGGTCTCTCTAAGCAGCCCTGGCTATCCTGGACTTTCTCTATAGACCAGGCTGGCCTTGAACTCACAGAGATGACCCTGCCTCTGCCTCTCCGAGTACTGGGGTCACAGGCGTGCTATACTACCCAGCTAATTTATGTATGTACGTACACATGTACGTATGTATGTAGGCATGTATGTATGTATGTACGTATTTTTGCACATACCACATGTGTGCCTGGTGTCTGTGGAAGGTGGAAGAGCATCAGATTCCATGGACCTGGTCGTGAGCCAAGGGGGTGTCGGGAATCAAATCCTGAGGCCTAGGCGAGTGCTCTTAACTGCTGAGCCATCACTCCAGACCCTAAACTACTTTTTGTATTATCACACTTGTTGCGTGTGTGTGTGTGTGTGTGCACGTGTGCATGCATGTTCTATCTTCTCGGCTTGTTGCATTATTTTTTGGTGTGTGTGTGGGGATAAGGTTCTATCATCTAGCTCAGGCTGGCACCAAGCTCAGAGCAATCCCTCTGCCTCAGCCTCCCAAGTCTGGGCATTCCAGGACTGAGCCCACGGCCAACTGTGTAAACTGTGAAGCTGTGTCTGTGCACAGCTGTGTGGGCTGCTGGCTTGAACACGGCACCAACTTTTCCTGAGGATGAGGGCAGCTCGGAGCCTCCACCCACCCATCCACCCGCCAGGCACCGTGCTATCCTTGGCTTAGGGACTCCAAGGACAGCTCTTCTGCCAGGCACTGTGGCAGGGTGGCTCAGTGGGTACACATGGCCCAGGCTGTACCCCAGCGCTGACAACCACAACTGGGGACACATACCTTGAAATCCCAGATCGTTATGGCCCCGTCCATGCTAGTGGTGCAGAATTTGTGACAGTCCTGCTTGTCCACCTTGTAAATGGACACCTGGCTGAAAGAAGAGCAGGACCGTGAGGTCTGTGGAGTGAGGCCAGCCCCCCAAGCCCTGCACTGACTCACAGCTAGGGGTACACTGGGCTCCAGATCCCTCAGGGCCACATGTGAGATCCTGTCCCAGAGCAGGCGGGGTCACTCGCCCAGAATGTGGCCCAGCAGGCGGGCCCGAGACTACACCAGGCCCTGGCCAGGTCCCCAAAGCCATATACACTGGGTACTAGTGCTTGCATGGAGCCCTAGCCATCTGAAGGTAGAGGCCAGAAGGCTACAAGTTCAAGGTCAGGGAGGCTGCAGAAATGGCTCAGAGGTTGAGAGTGCTGGCTGCTCTTCCAGAGGTCCTGAGTTCGAGTCCCAGCACTCAAACGGTGGCTTACAGCCATCTGGTGTCAGAAGAGAGGGAGAGAGAAAAGGAGGGAGGCAGGGAGAGGAGAGAGGGAGAAGAATGGAGAGAGAGGGAGGGAGAGGGAGAGAGAAAGAGGAAGGGAAAGAGAAGGGAGGGAAAGTGAGAAAAAGAGGAAGGTAGAGAGAGGGAAAGAAAGGGAGAGGAAGGGAGAGAGTGGGAGAGGCAGAGAGAGGGAGAGAAAGGGAGAAAAGAGAGGGAGAGAGAGGGGGAGAGAGAAAGGGAGAAAGAAGGAGAAAGGAAGGGAGACTGGGAGAAAGAGGGAGAGAGACAGGAAGGAGAAGGAGGGGGAAGGGGAGAAAGCAGGAAGGAGGGGAAGGGAGAGGGAGTGGGAAAGGGAGAGAGGGGGAATAAAGAAATAAGGGAAAGGTGAGGGAGAGGGATACAGGAGAGAGAACAGGAGCGAGGGAGGGAAGGCAGCAGGAGGAAGACAGGGAGGGAGGAGGAAAGGCCACAGCCTCAGCATGGGGCCGGTAGGGGCAGAACAGGGCTCAGCAGATTTGGACACAAATGACTTATTTCAGAGCCGTCACCCCCAGGTGTTTACAGAGCTGGGCAGATAAGGGACACCCGGGTGAGCCGACCCATCTGCAGAGCTTCCAGAGACAGCCTCCTCCTTCTCAGATGCCAGCCTGGCTGACCTAGAGGGTTGAGGCCACAGGGCAGCCCATGAGAAGGGCCTTTACACACTATCATTTCAGGTTGTTATTAGTTCATCATGCTGTGTGTTTGGTACACTAGTCAGCAGACTACTGTGAGAATCTGTTTTCTCCCTTCTCCGTGCAGACTCTGGGCAGCATGTGCGCCTTGTTTGACTGGCACAGGCAAGTGGCACCCTGCAAGTGGGCACACTGTGTGCGGGGAACTGTGTGTGGGGGAGGGTGTGAAGGGCACAACCTGGGACTGGCACAGGCAGGTGGCACCCTGAGAAGGGCACACTACAGGAGACTGTGTGCAAGGGAGTGTGTGAGGGGCGCACCCCGGGAATGGCATAGACAGGTGACATCCAGCTAGGGTGCCCACTTCAGGGAAGTGTGTACAGGGGAGGGTGTGTGAGGCAAGTCCTGGGCCCAGCATAGGTGGCATCCTGGGAGGGGCGCACACTCACCTCGGCCACGATGCTATTCTCTGAGGACAAACTGAGCAGTGGCATAAACTCCGTCTTCAGAGTCGACACCCTGCGCAGGGGGAACGCACATCACACATGGTTCTCCTCCTATGTGAAGCAAACACTGGGTACCAAACTCGGGCAGTGCCATCTTCACGTGAGGGTCCTACCCTGAGGACCAGGCTGGCCCTGAACTCACGATCCCCCTGCCTCAGCTTCCCAGATGCTGGGGTTGTGGGCCTGCGCCACCATGCCTGGCTTGTAAGAGTGTATTCACGGACAGGAGTGAAAGCTTGACACCAAGGTCTCTGACATGACCTCAGTGGCCTGCTCTTTGATCTCTCCCACCACCACCCAAGGGAGAAGCAGTCTTGCCAGGCCACAGAGGAGGACACTGCAGCCAGTCCTGATAAGACCTGATAGACTAGGGTCAGATGGAAGGGGGGACTTCCCCTAGCAGTGGACTCGGGGAGGAGCAGGGAGGAGATGAGGGAGGAAGGGATGATGGGGAGGGTAGGAGAGATGATGGGAAGGGAGGGTGGCAGTGATGGTGGGGAAGGAGGAAGGGATGTTAGGGAGGGAGGGATGATGCAGGAAGGAGGGAGTGTTGGTGGGGAGGGAGGGATGGGGAGGGAGGGATGGGGAGGGAGAGAGGAATGGTGGGGAGGGAGGGATAATGGGAAGGGAGGGAGGAATGATGCAGGAGAGAGGGAGGGTTGGTGGGGAGGAAGGGAGGGATGACGGCTAAAGCTGGGCTACAAATAAAATATAATTAATATAAAAATAAAAATTTAATTTAAAAACAAAACAAAATACAAACCAAAAAACAAAATAAAAGCTTGATACCAGCAAAGCTGTCCCAGAGCACAGTTCTGCCATGGCAACCCTTTCAAAAGAGAACTAGTAGAGTCAGCACGGGGAAGACCACATCCGATCTGTCCACACCATGCATCCTCATGGGGTGGCCAGGAGGAGGCCATCCCCCGTGCACGTTCCCAGGATGCCCATGGGAGGGCAAGTGCCAAGCCGCCTGAAAGCAGACTCCGGGCTTCTTCCCTTGCCACCAAGCCACCTTCACCGCAGTCTGGTGACAAAGCACCATTCAGACTCTCCCTGCAGACCTGGGGCAGTATGAAGGCAGGAGGAAGATGGCTCCAGTCCTGTTTGGGGTGGTGTCAGGGGAAGGAGCTGAGGGTGTGTGTGCCGAGCGGTGGCAGCAGCTTCAGCTCTGGTCTTCTGGGACAGAGACCAGGCTGGCCTTGAACTCTGGAGCCTCCCGCCTCCACCTCCTGGGCCACCACGCTCCGTCCCATCTCCCTGGGGGCTGGTGGGGACCACAGAAGTGGGGAGACAGTCAGGCGTCTGCAGTGCCCTTCTCCCAGCTCCCAGCCATCATCTTCATCAGGGCGGCAGAGACCAGGCCTGCTGGCTACAGGCACTGCCTGAAGGGCGGGTATGGGTTCCTGACCCCCAATGGGACCCGGCTGCTCTATCTTGGGAGCTGTATACACTCCCCCTAGCTGCAGTGCTCTAGGTTACTGTGTCCACAGTGCTTCTGGCCAGCTGTATACACTTCCCCTAGCTGCCAAGGAGAGCCAGCATGTCCAGATCGCTAGCTGTCTACACTTCCCCTCGCTGCCATGTAGGGCCAGCGTGTACAGATCCCTAACTGTACCCTCCAATGCCTCCCCCCAGCCAGGCGAGGACTCACTGAACGCTCTTGGAGGAGTCGGCCACAGACACTGTGATGTCGTGGCTGACCCAGGCCAGGCGGTACCCACTGGCGGAGAAGCTGATGCCGTGCACCCAGCCGCCAGCACCGCTGCTGCTGAATTCCGCCATCAGCTGGCCGACAGGCATCTTGCTGCCCCACAGGGTGCTGGCCGGCTTCTTGTCCACCTCCTTGATGTAGGCTGAGAACACTCTGTTGTGGAAAGAGTGTGGAAGGAGTCGGTTTAGGATGGGCAGATGCAGGAAAGGCCAGCCAGGGCTGGACCAGCACAGGGACCCCAGTTCGGATCCGAATCACCCACAGGGAGCCAGAGATGGAAGCCTGCACCTGGAATCCAGGCACTGAGCTGGGTGGACACAGGTCTTGGGCGCACACACACAGATAAATAAAGCTAGAGGTGAAGATACACAACAAAGGGCTGAGAGAGGGAGGCCTGCTCTCCACCTCGGCTCCACTGTCATCTCTGAGGCCTTAGGAGGTTGAGGGACAGGAAAGGGCCGGAATCTGCCTACTCTGGTCTCTTCTGACTCTCTGGGAAGCATCTGAATGTGGATGTGGCCCCTGGAGGCCAAGGCAGAAAAACCAGGAGCCGAGGAGTCAAGGAGTAAGAGGAGGAGGAGAAGGAGGAGGAGGAAGAGGAGTCGAGGAGGAAGAGTTGAGAAGATGGTGAGGAGAAGTTGAGGAGGAGGCAAGGATGATTTGAGGAGAAGGAGGAAGAGAAGGAGAAGGAAAAGGAGGAACAGAGGAGGAAGAGAAGGAGAAAGGAAGAGGAAGAGAAGCCTGAACCTCAAGACTCTTTAAACAACTCTGAGCTGCATGCCTTTAATCCCAGCACTTGGGGAGGCGAAGGCAGGGGGATCTCTGTGGGTTCGAGGCCAACCTGTGCTACAGAGTGACTCAGATAAACCCTGTTTTCAAAACCAAACCAAAGCAAACCTCTAGCACAACTTCCAAATGATGGCGGCAGCTGAGGGTGTGCAGGGTTAGAGGTGTTGGCTTCTCCTGCCTGGGGGTCATGGGCAACTGTGGACGTACCTAGACAGTCCCGTCCTGTCTTATTTGCTGGGAGAGCCAGGGGACCCTGGAAAAATAACAGACCACAAACTCCTGAGCACAGAGCCCCAGACTACCTTAGCTCCACCTTCACCACCCAGATTTTTCTTCTTAGTTTTCTGTTCATAGTGCTGAGCATTGAACCTGGCACTTTGCTACAGATTCGGCAAACGCTCCACTGAGCAACACTGCCCGTTTTTTTTTTTTTTTTTCCCTTCCTTATTCATTTTGTAATTAGGCCTGAGTATAAACGACAAGGCTGCTTTTCTGGAAAATTTTTACATGGGCTGGTAGGTCCCAACCTTCCTTAAGCTGTGGTGCCCTGCCCCATAAAATTATTCCCATTGTTGCTTTGTAACCACAAGTTTGCTGCTGATGTAAAGGCATGATTCTTAAAGCTCTAACAGGGTGGCAAGTCTCCTCTAGCCTCGGGCTAAAGACAGAGGGAATGTTTTGTCTGTATACCCTCAGGGACACGTGACTAAAGTCAGGTCCACTGTTCTTTGCAGTCTGTGGCCTGGGACACAAAGTGAGGACCTGAAACGGTCCAAGAAAGAGGCTGGTGGGCATGAAGGTACAGATTTGTAATTCTAGGACAAGAAGCTGAGGGAGGATGGTGAGCTCCAGACCAACCTGGGCTTCATGCTTCCAACTCCTTGTCATATCAAAACCCAGAGAACTGATCCGAAGAGATGGCTCAGTGGTTGACACACTTGCTGCTCTTCCAGAGGACTAGGTTGGGTTCCCAGCACCTCTATCAAGTGGCTCACAACCACTTCTAGCTCTTGGGCATCTCTTACCCCTTCTGGCCTTTGCCAGGTGTGCATACCCACATGCACAGAGATAAATAAAATCAATTGACTTAATAACTGAAGAGAGGCTGAGAAAGAGATGGATGGGTGGACATAGCATGAGCTCACCCTGCACTTAAGACTACCGACTCTGCCTAAGACCCCTCATTGTACTGGCCAGGCTGCTGTGCCCAACGACCTGCTGCAGCTCCTGCTAACCCTATGGCTGAGTCCATCATGTCTTCTGCTACTTTCTCTGTCCATCACTGTGCACCAATTCACTTGTTCTTTTTGTCTTTCTTGAGACGGGGTCTCATATAGCCTGGGTGCCCTCAATCTCGGTCTGTAACTGAGCCTCTAATCTTAATTTCACATGCAGTGCTGGGTTTACAGGTGTGATTAACCTGCCGGGCTTCTGCAGTGCTGGGGGACGGTAACCAGCTCAACAAGTTCTCTACCTACTGAGCCACATCCCAGCCCCAGCTCCTTTTCTAGGCCATGAAGTTCCCTTTATCACTGAGCTGCTCACAGGTACTGTACTTTGCAAATAAAGGAGCCCAAGGAGTAACTGTCAGTGCTGAGCAACAGGCAGTGCCCATTTATTCTCACCTGCATTTGAAGTCACATGACCCTGCAGCCAGCAAAATGTTGTTGAGCTGCCGGCCCAAGCCGAGGAATGTGGAGTGAATCGGCTTCTTATTGTGCTTGCTCACCCACCTGAAGAAGAAGAAAACCTAGTTACACTGTCCTCACAGACAAAAACAATCGTGCTTTCTAAGATGCCCCATAAACCCTCTCCAAATAAAACTGATCGATATGTTTATAAAAACCATTTCAATTCTGAAATCTACAGGCAATGTTAGCTACATTTACAGAGGTAAGTCGTGTACATGCTTTTAATGTTGTAAGGCTGTCCTTTGACTTAGTCTTGAGTATTTTCATGGGCTCCTTACAGTGCACAGCTCCTCCTGCTGAAGGCTGGCTTGCTCTCTGTCAGGGAAGAGCCTCCTACACAGAGTTCAGACTTGCTGTGAACCCCATACTGGTCTCAAAGTCAAGTTGGAATTACAGGCCTGTGCACCACACTGGCCTGAGGGGCTGAAGTACAGCTCACATTCAGGGACTGCATCTGCAACCACAGTAAGGTCCAGTCCACCTACGACCTCTCATCATACATACACAGTCAACTGCTCGAAGGCAGTCAGAAGGAAACGCTTCCTACATCAATTAAGAAGAGTGGGGGGCTGGAAAAGGAAGGATGGGGATAAAGGAGGAAGTGGAAGAAGGAAGAAAGGGAGGGAAGATTAGCATGGCTCACCAGTCGTTTTCAGACTCAAAGTAGCAGACTAAGGAGATGAGCCAGCCTCCACTCCCCACAGCAAACTTGTTTTCCAGAGAGGACTACTTCACAAAAGTGGCACGGTTGATCCTGAGCAAGGGCAGGGGTGGTGGCAACCTCCTCAAAGTTGTCACTTCTCCAAAGCTCCTCCTCCTTGGCCATGCAGGGGACCTGTGAGATGGCTGTGCGCCCGGCTCTTCACTTCTCCAAAGCTCTTCCTCGTTGACCCGGCAGGGGACGTGCAAAGTGGCTGAGCGCCCTGGCTCTCCTGGAGAACCCTGGGGCTGTGGCAGTGGCAGGACAGCATCTTTAGGTAGTTTCTCTTCCCTGTCCAGGTCTGTCCCCGGGGGCATGCCTTGTACACAGGCCTGCGCAGGCTTGGCCTCCTCCTTGCAGTCCTTCTTCTGCTTTGGGATCAGGTCGGGGTTCCAGGCAGCTTGGTTCTCCAGGCCTGAAGTAGGAAAATGTGAGCAGAGAGAGAATGGGCCCAGCCCAGGACTCCAATGTCATCATCAGAACCCGAGAGCTCGGTGGGGTCAGGTGCTCAATCTATAAGATCTGTTTCCCTGGGCACTTGGGAGAGTGGGAACTAGGGATTCTGGGAAGAAGAGGGGTTCAGGAGGCAGGGGGACAGAAACTGGGGCATTCTGGGAAGGATGCTTCATCACAGCATCCGGGAGGAGACCCTGGCTCACCAGAGCCACGCGGACCACAGGGCATCAGAGAGGAGCCTCACTCACCCGGCACGGATGTGCTCCCGTAGTCCTCCGTGCTCTCTTCGCACGTGCCATTCTGGGGGTCCGTGGCCAGCTGCTGCCATTCTCCCCGGGTCGGGGATCCAGCCTCGGCCTTGAAAGTCAGGGTTCCCTGGAGGGGCGCAAGGCCTCGGTTAGTGCTCGCTGTCCCTCTGACAGCAAGGAGCTGGTGAGCCGAGTGACAGGGTAACAAAGCGTTCCATGTCACCTCGACTGGACTCAGGGTCCCCTCTAACATGGCTTCGCTGCTAGCCTGAGGTAGTCAGCATTTCCAGGCAGCTTTGACTGGGCTGAACGGGTAGAAGGAAGACAAGGGGTGCGCCAGTGTCCACCTCCTCCTCAACGCTAACCGGGAAACAAGGGGACCAGCTACAACCCTGCTGCACCTTCCTGGGCCTGGACTGTGGACCTTGTTCAGCCCTGACACCCCAAAATAAGCCCTTCCCTCACAGAGCCCTTGACACAGCGGCGGGAAGAGTCATTCGCCTGCGGTCTCGAGGTTTGGGGGGGTCCTCACCTGCGGGGAGGCCGGTTGCAGGGCGCAGGCCCAGGCCGCCGCTTCCTCCCTGCTCTCAGGGCGCTGGTGGCGCACGGGGCTCCAGCATCTGCTCCTTGGAGCGCCGCTCGGTCCGCAGCCAGCGGCGGCACAGCTCCAGCCGGCGGCTTAGCGACTCCTCCGGGCCGGACACGTTCCCGGAGCGCAGCCGCCAGAAGCGTCTCCGGGAAGTTTCGGGGTTCCGCCAGTCCCCGGGGTCCTTCTCTTCCTCCTCCGCTTCTGCTTTCAACGCCAGCACGACAGCGCAGGCCGCCACCATCGCAGCCTCCGGGGCCCCGAGACCCCGATGGGATTCCCGGAAGGTGGGGCGCGCGGCCACCCTCTCCCCCAAAACGCCGCCACGACAGCTCACAATCCTGGACAGCGCGCCAGCGGAGAAAAACAAACCTGGCCGGAAGTGCGTCATCAACTCACGCCGACTCTCAACAGAGAGATAGAGAGGCGGCGACCGTCTTGGGTCTCTCCATGCGCCCTGGAGAACTAAGTGGCCTCTTCGCCTCCCAGCATTTATGATGCTGGGAACAGCACGCAGGGGATTCTGGGATTTGTAGGCGACCCAGGGT